AAAATAATAGAAAAATTAAATGAAAAGAAATCCCCACAAAACATCCAAATAGGATTTCAAGTGTATAAAAGCTCAGATCTTAGGTCAGGAAAATTAAAGAAGACATTTTTAGGACTTTAGAACCATTTACAAATATTCTCGAAAACGGAAAATTCGAAATAGAAAACTCGAAAAATAAAAAACGAGAAATTATTCACAAAAATGAAAGTAAAATAATCCCCGTTTTTGCAGATGAGCCTGCACCCGGAACATCGTCTTAGTCAACTAAAAATAGATGCGATAAACCGAATTTCCTTACTCGATCAAACAATCGAACATTTTAAAGGAATACTATCCAACACCACACACAATCAAGTCATCTTAAAGTCTAGAATTCTCCAGATTGAAGCTACAATTAGAAGAACACAACTAAAAACAATCGAAGTTTATGAATACTATCGAATTTTCATAGTAATTAACCAAATCACATTTCTGTATCAATCAATCTATGATACTTTGGCAAAAATAGAGGTTGCCATAACGTTCTCAAAAATCGGTATTCTTCATAATTCAATAATTAGTCCAACCGAACTTCTAAGAGAAATCAACCAACTACATCCCCAACTACACAATGACAAGTTACCAATTAATGTCAATTCTCAACAAATAACAAATTTAGAAAACTTGATAAAAGTTAAAAGCTTGATTAAGAAATTCGAAGTAATTTTCATTTTAAAACTTCCATTAGTCGAGGCGGAAACATACCAATATTACAAATTGTTTCCTTCTCCAACTCCCAAAAACAATTCCTTTCTAGTCAATATACCCTTTAAACCAAACCTGGCACTCAGTGAGAAAAAGCACTCATTTGAAAACGAAAAATGTCTAGCTATACAAACTAATAAATTTCTTTGCAAAAGAACAATCAGTCAGACGATAGGAAATCATGATATTTATTAACCAGATCTTCTCAGATAAAGCCAAATTTTACTTAACTGGCACTAGGGATGGTCGGTATTTAACGTAACCGCTAAAATAACATTGTTACAAACGTGTAACCTGAAACCGCAGTTTCAGCTAGCAGATTTAACCGGTTGTTTTTGGAACCGTCTCATAAACCCGAAAAAGCCGTTTGCAACAGCAGATAACCGATGCGACACCGTCCAGCATCTATCTAGCTGCAGCCGTTTGCCAATTTAAACCGTTCTTTTTGGAACCGTCTCATAAAACCAAAACAGTTGAGCGTACGTGGAACCAGCTGCAGCCGTCTTCCGATTAAAGGGTTGTTTTTGGAACCTTCTCATAAAACCGTAACGGCCGTTGGGCACCAGCGCACCAGCACAGAACCGATGCGACAACGCCGAACGATCTGTCCAGCAGCAGCTGTTTGCCGACTTAAACCGTTCTTTTTGGAACCGTCTCATAAAACCTAAACAGTTGTGCGACTTTTGTTCGTGAACCGGAGAAACACTTTTTTTAAAAAAGCACAAATTACAGGTCTTTATTTGAACGTAAGACAAACTTAGAGAAATAAAGCGATTTTACAGGGATAC